AGTTTTTCCGCTAAGCTTCGCTTCGTTTTCGAGATATTGCGTATGCAGAAAAACCACTCGGTTTTCCTAGCGGCGTCTTTATAAACGAAGCAAAAACCAACGACAAAAATACAGGACCATGTTTTTCTATTACATTGAAGACCACATGCAAAAATTCAAGCCCTTTCGCGAAATTTTTTTTTTTCACCCAAATCGTCACTTAGCATGGTTTTGCACTCACCCCTTCAATTGTTAATTTGACGTTTGCAGTTGTGTACACATGCTTATCAGTTTCTTTAAAAATTTGCAAGCTTTTTTAATTCAAGAAACCCTAAATGTTTTCCTTTTAATCCTCTCGGGAATTTGATGATTACCCATTTGTTTCTAAATGTTCTTTCAAAACTTCGGAGAAACGATGCAATTTTGTCGACCACATCAAGCCACTGCAAACTAATGGCTGATTGTGTGCAACGGCATAGCCAATCAGAATACAGCATTTGCATTGGTATACGAGTAGAATTCTACTAATGTGAGTTATTCAATATTTAAGTCAATTAGATCAATGTGGTTTTCTCAGATGCGTGTGTAAAACAATGTACATTGGCATGATAATCATTAACTTGTTCATTTGTCCACTATTGTATACATGTGTTGGAATTTGAACGACATGGAATCATTATCGGAACGTGAATTTAAGAGATTCGTGGATACCCAATTATAGTGTCACACTAGACCGGAGGAATTTGAAAACGGAGTTTTCAGTCCTAAAACACATCAAATGTTTTTGGTCTATACTACGCTGTAGAAATTCGAAAACACAACAATAACTGGTCATTTTGGATTAACGTTCTAATAAAACCCTGGCAGCAGAATATCATGGTTATCGTAATGTGATCGTTTTCGAAAAGCTTCGTTTTCAAAATGTTTTTCATCCACGCTAAAACACAAAGTAGACGATCTCAATTTCCTCCGGTTTGAAGAGCGTTTTCGCAGAGCTCTGTTTTCTTGACGGATTAGTGTGGACGGAAGGCCAAACCGAAGAAACGAAGCTCTGTTTTCAAATTTCTCTGGCCTAGTGTGAACAGGGTCTCAGAGTGTGTTCTTGTTAGTCGTTTGTCCGTTCTTGTACAGAATGTGGGATTCGCATTAAACCTTACTGAAACACAACATGTACTTGAAATGCTGTCGGTAAAAAGGTCAGGTTGTAGTTGTTATAACAATTAAGAATAATAATTATTGTCTGTTTCTGCATTCTTGGTAGATTGAATTGGTTGGGGGTGTAGACGGTCTTAAACAGATGTTAAGCTATGGAGATGCAAGGTACATGTAATGACCAACTTCAAGGTGCCATGCTCTCGAGTAATAATGATGAAGTTGCCTTTGAGCTCTAATTAATTTTCATTAAAACTAAGTACGTGTGTATGTGTCTTATGAAAATAGTGTTAAAGAAAATATCGCCCTGCTCTGAAGGCATAAAAAAGTGCTAAAACAAAAAATTCAAAAGAATGTCAATCTTTGTTTTCCTCCACTCTTATTTTCCTTTCCTCTATTATTATTTTTTCCACTGCTTGGAGTGATTCTGAGGCCTTTAAAAGTTGTAAAATCAAACCAGTAGGTCATTTGGTGCTTAGGAACACAGTTTTCATTGACACGGTGTTCATAAATCCAGTCATAAAATATAAAATGTTGAATTGTCTTCTGACCTTTATTTTTCACAAAGAGTTCAGATCAGCACCAATCTTTGTAACTTCATTGATATAGTATTTCATCACGATTATTGTATTTTGATTTCATTTCAAAGTGTAATTTGATGGCCATGTTCTGTAACCACTGTAAATTTGTAAATCATAACTATTTTGCCTAATTCTAGCTGTGTTGTATTTTTTGCAGAGTGCGGTATCATGCTGCTCGTGGCCTGATTTATTTGGGTTGTTTGGATGTTGGAGGAGTTTATCTCTTTAAACGTGTACCAGGTACCACAATCTTCTAGTTTGAACTGCTTGCAAGATTCCTTTTTTTCCTGAAAATCTAGAGGATATATTAGTTTCGATGTAGTAAATCAAACGTGAAAACCATGTTTGACCGCATTTCCAAACACTGAGAAGAAAGTTGAAAATACGACGCGAGTATTTTTCACGAACTTCAAGGTGTTTGGAAATGTGGTCAAACACTGTCTTGAGTGTTTGATATATCTTCTCAATCGAAACTGAAATCCAGAAATAAAATCGTAAAAATCTGTGGTAATTACGATCAGATATCCAAACACGGCCACGGTTTGAGAAGGGAATGCTAAATATGGCTATAGTTTGATTTCAGAGGTTTTAGACAGCCACATACAGTCTGAATGCACAGGTATCAGCTTGCATTTTCTCAATTTCTCTTGTTTTATAAATGTATGATTGTTACTTATAGGTGATGAAAAGCTGGACGTGCTATTCTCAGAGTCTAGTGGAGAGGAACATCTATACGTCAAGTAAAATGAGCTTTTATGTTTTCCTTTTTCTACTGATAACAATGCCACTATCCCTAAATTAGATTCAAGTATTATTAAAGCTCTGTAACGAGCTTCCCTCAGTTTATTTAAGCCCCCTCTGAAACTTTAATTTATTTTTATAACCCTCCATCATTACCCAAACCCCCACCTAAAAAGATAGAACCCTAAGACAATGTTATAAACCTTTCACAACCTTTTAAACTTGAAGTGGTCAGTTTCGTTTTTATTTGATTACAAAGTCTTAGTTGAAAACATGATGTCTTCCAACAGTTATCAAGTTTAAATATTCTGTTAATTCCTAGGTAGTAGTAATTATTATAACCTTTAACAAGTCTGAGGGAGGCGCGGTGGCCTCATGGTTAATGCGCTCGTCTCCGGATCGAGCGGTCCGGGTTCGAGCCCTGGCCGGGGACATTGTGTTGTGTTCTTGGGC